ATAATCAGAAATAGCATATGAATGTAAACATCGCACTATGTAAGCTGAGTCGTAGTATGGCAATATTTCAACAGCAAAAGTTCAACGCTAAGTGGACAAAATTGCGTTGCAAAACGTTTACTTAACATCAAATGAATACGTTTCTTTTGAAATTGGCATAAGAAATTTCGCATAAACTGTGAATTCAAAGAAAACCGCTGAAATGATGCTGAAGAAACAGAAGAAGTAAAGTTGAGTTAAAGTAAGGCATTGCTTGTATAATGTTACTTTGATTAGTTGAGGTGATATCGAACGAATTGTTTAGGTCGGTTCGGTATGTTGGTGTCATTAATCATGCGGTCGGTTTGCTTTTGGTGCTCACATCAAAAATAATAAATCTTTTCGTTCGTCTCAAAACACCAACAACTTTTGCATCGCACCGCGAATATAGTTTTGTTCAATCGTTACAATGAATCCCAAACGATCGCCAACACATTCCAATAACTTCTTCATTTTCATTTTCATTATCATATCGCCTAGAACACTCACTCATCGCCTTCGAAATCTGCTCATATCCCCTCCAGATCCTCATTTTATTCCATTCAAAGTGTCGCAGCTATTCGGTTTCTTCAATTATGCAAACTTTCAATTGTATGTCACGCTGTCACGAGAATCTTTCCTTTTTTATTCATCACTGCTGGATCATCGTTTGGTGAGAAATCATCTTATGAGTCGACTTCAGACTTGACAGAAGCTGTGATACAAGGATAATGACTAGTGGAATTTTAAGCTAATGCAACTTTGAGAAATGTTCNTATTAGCTCACTAGATCTCTGCTACACCTTCCCTCCTTAATCAGAGGAACAGTTTGAAGAAAACTTACCGTTCAGCTACCCATCAGATTTCACAAAGATACCTTATCCATTTTCAGCAGTACATTTGTTATTCTGACCCTTTCGCGCTAATAATTTCTCAATTTGTAAGCGGTCAATTCAGTTTTCTTTCGCTAACATATAAATACGTTCAATGTGTGCCATTATAAGTAATTATAGGCCAGCATAGGTTATAAACTCATCAGTGAGGTTGGACACTCAATATGGGATAATCAGATAAGTGAGTTACGTTAATGATTTCCTCTATCCTATGAGATATCACGCAACTAATAAAGACATCCACCGAGAAAAATAACTGCGCTAATTGCTCTTTGTCAGAGGCGAGAAACAGTTGTCGGATAAACTTTTGATGTGCGCCTTCTTATACTTATCTTATACTTACGCATTTATCTTGCCTTATTTATCTTATTTTATAGTTATCTTATTGGAATATCACGAAGCCAATCTCATTATGAATTTACGTGTACTTACTGAGCACGACGCTAGCGCTAAAATAAGAGCACGAACTTTTCAGAGTGCATTATGGTTTTCAGAGCTATAAAGCTCATTTCTGGATTTCTGCTAGATCGTCCCTGGAAATCCTCCATAAGTGGTAGATTCTGGTAGTGTTCTAGAGGGTAAGCGTCGTCATATCGACCGACGGTTGTGACAACACCATCTCATTGTTTATGACTTCCACAAAAAATTAGTGCAGATGATTGTGGTGCACGGCGAGAATGAGTGATTGCGCTTGCTCGCGAAATGCGCTCTTTTATGAGCGAATATTTTTCATCAGTCATATCATTCAAAGAGCCATAGCCGACATCATCGTTGTTCAATGCATAAAAAATTACCACGAAATCATAAGCTGTCAGAAGAGCACTCTCAACATGTTCGTTGCAATCACCGCATTGTAAAAGCGCTGCGTTTTGTCACAATCAAACAATTAATCTCGTATTCAGCGACGATAAAAATTACGATTTTGACATATTGAATTGCTTTTCTTCACCAGTTCGAGCCCGCATTTCTTGGCCATCTGAAAACCGATTGTCTTGCGTCAATCAAGTGGGGAAACAATCCATTCATTACGTGATAACTGGACGAGAAAAAAGTGCATGAAATGGCGGAATATTCAAACAAAAGCGATGCCATGGGGATTGCTTATTTCAGTAGGAACGCGCTCATTCGCTATGCATGAATACACTGTCGGTATTTTCACTTGGATACTATAGAGAGACTAATTTTTACGTTCCATTCTCAATTTTTAGTTAGCTTTTTTTGTTCTAACTTGTTTCACTAAAGAAATACTCATCATTTTAGAGCTAATTTCTATTCTCTTCACAATGACTCAACTTTCGTTTCCATTCATATGCAATCTAGCAGATTCTGTTTCGAAATTCCTTTTTTATGGAACTTTTCAAACGATACACGCAGTTTACTCCAATACTGTAGCGAGTTTTTTACAGCAACAAGCTTTT